AATATTACAGTTGATGGATTCTATGGAATTGTTTGAAGGGAAGAATGTGGAGGCAAAGAGGGGGAATATATAGAGGAGAAACGTTATGCGGTATGTGATGTTAAATTTATGTTATGTATGGGCGATAATGATGATGATGATGATGATGGTTTCGGTTTATGTATGATGATTGATCGAATGGATGGGCTGCACAGATGTACCCTGAACGGTTTCATTTTTCGGGGTTATCTTTCTTTCTTTTCTTTTTTTTTTTCACAAATTTGCAAATACCGGGTTCGAACCATTGGTTGGGATGAGATAATGTACTTATTCGTGACTTGATGTTAGTTGGTTTAAAGGCTATATTAACTTCCAATTTTGATCCCTTAGGTTTAGAATTTTTTATAGTTTTCATTCTTTTAACTCTTTTATATATATTTTTATTCTTTTAATTATAAAAAATACTTTATTTTATGTTAATTAGTTTATTAAATTTATTCATTTATATTTTTAATTTTTAAATTTTTAAGTTAAATGATGAAAAATATATATACAATAAATTAGAGATTAAAAATATATGTAAATGTATTTAACAAGTTGACTGATAGAATAATAATAAAAATATTTTTTTATAATTAAAAAACAAAAAAATGTTAATAAATAAAAATTATATAAAACTTTAAAATTAAAAAGACTAAAATTGGTATTTAATTTTGTTAACCCCTTTACCTATACTATTTATGTCCTATGTGATTATAGCTTAAATCATCTAGCTTCTTCTAAAGAGATGTTAATTAGTAAATTATTTAAGTCGGTAGTGGCGAACAGTGTCGTTTTGATGCCGCCAAGATGGACTTATGGTTGTGGGTATTGGGTAAACGACGGCATCGTGATTCTGCATTTTTGACTTGGGGTGGTGTTATTGCCACAGCCACTAATGTTAATGCCACAGCTTTTTTTAGTTATTTGACCATTAACCCACGCGGAGAAAGTGGCGACTCCGGCAAGTTGGATTCAAATGAGGGGTATAATAGTCAAATAACTAAAAAAACTGTGGCATTAACATTAATGGCTGTGGCAATAACACCACCCTTTGACTTGAGTATGACCTATATTGCAAAAATTGATTTCGTTGCCCTCTATAATATTCAATAAAGTATATTATGTTTGTGGCCGTCGTGGGAATTTCCGGTTTTCCTTAATAAATAGTGGGCTGCACCAGACACCCACAGAAATTTGGACCAGTCTGCAGGAAACTGTCACTTTTGTTTTTATTTATAGTAATTTATTTAAAAATGAAATATTTATTATCTCCCCGTGCTGGTGAAACTTGATTTCAATCCAAAACACCACCTTTAAACAGAGATTGCTGTTGTAATTGATGCTTCGAATTTAATGGCATTAACTATTTTGAAAAAAAAAGTACATTTCTCTCCTTTTTTGGGTCTGAATTCAATTCTATCCTTTGTCAACATGTTTAAAAAGAAAATA